GCTCAGGTAGGGAAGGGGTGGGGCCTGAGTTTCTTGTCTCACTGGGGGTTGCAAGCCCAGGTAGAAGTGTGTTCTGCTTCATTAAGGGCAAGTACCATCCCCACACGTGTGGTTGCCCAGTGTGGGGCCCTATTTGCTGATACTCACTCTTTAGTCAGACACGTGTGAAAATGAGGGACAGATTCATCACCTCGATGATTCTAGTGATGGGGCCTGGTTTCCAGCACTCCCAGGTCAGGGTGGAAGGTCCCTGCTGAGGACAGACCTCCAGGAGGGTGGTTGGTCCAGTCCCCACACGTGTAGTTTCCTCAGGTTTCCTGATCCTGCCCTGGGTCTGTAGTCACAGTTCTGGAAACTTCTCTGGGCTCCAGGACTAGGAGTTCCTTTAGGAGCTCATGGCCCTGGGTCCTCCCTGTCTTCTCACGGGATGTTTTCTTCCCACAGGTGGAAAAGGAGGGAGCTATTCTCAGGCTGCCAGTGAGTATGGAGGGTGACCCCTGAGATCCTGTGATAGTACAGACTGGATCCCATGGGGGACCTCACCCCCATAGTTCCTCCCTTAGTCTCCTCTCCTGGGGGCTCTGACCCCGTCCTGTTTTGTTCTACCTCAGGCAGCGATAGTGCCCAGGGCTCTGATGTATCTCTCACGGCTTCTGAAGATGAGACTCTGATGATAGCAGGGGTTGGGGCAAAAGGGACAGGACTGGGTGATGGGGATTCTGTGGGACATAGTGAGCCTGCGGTGGGCTGTTGAGAAGGTCACTACTTACAGCCCCTGAACTGAATTTGTTCATGATCATTTTCTTCCACAGTGTGAGGCACTTGTCAGGGACTGAGTGATGGGAGATTTGTTTATGCTCCCACTTTGTGAATCAAGAATCTCTGAGGTTCCCCCTTCCTTTCGGTCCCGGGGCGGCTGCAGTGCTGAGCCAGGGGCGCCCACACTCCTGGCTCCTCTCTACGCCTCCACTCTGCTCCGTGCCCCTGGCTCCCCGCGCTGTGCTGCCAGGATGGAACAGGCCATCTCCTTCGCCAAGGACTTCCTAGCCGGAGGTGTCCCAGCCACCATCTCCATGACGGCCGTGGCCCCGATGGAGCGGGTCAAGCTGCTGTAGGAGGTGCAACATGCCAGCCAGCAGATCACGGCCGTCAAGCAGTACAAGGGCATCATGGACTGCATCCTGCGCATCCCCAAGGAGCAGGGCGTGCTGTCCTTCTGGCGGGGCAACATGGCCAACGTGATCCGCTACTTCCCCACCCAGGCCCTCAACTTCGCCTTCAAGGATAAGTATAAGCAGGTGTTCCTGCGGGGCGAGGACAAGCACACCCAATTCTGGAGGCACTTCTCGGGCAACCTGGCCTCGGGCGGGGCCGCGGGCGCCACCTCCCTCTGCTTCATCTACCCCCTGGATTTCGCCCGGACTGGCTGGCGGCCGACAAGGGGAAATCGGGCACCGAGCACCAGTTCAAGGGCCTGGGACCCTGCCTGGTGCACATCACCAAGTTGGATGGCATGGGGGCATGTACCAGGGTTTCAACGTCTCCATGCAAGGCATCATCATCTACCAGGCAGCCTACTTCGGGGTGTAGGACACGGCCAAAGGCATGCTCCCCGAGCCCAAGAACACCCACATCTTCATCAGCTGGATGATCGCCCAGTCGGTGACGGCCATGGCGGGCCTGGTGTACTACCCCTTTGACACCATGCGGCGACGGATGATGATGCAGTCGGGGTGCAAAGGAGCCGACATCATGTACACGGGCACCATGGACTGCTGGAGGAAGATCTAGGACCAGGGCGGCAAGGCCTTCTTCAAGGGCGCCTGGTCCAACGTCTGAGGGGCATGGGCGGGTCCTTCATGCTGGTCTTGTACGACAGGCTGAAGAAGGTCATCTAGGCGCCCCGCCTGCCAGGACACGGGACTCCAGGGCCGCGGAGGCCCCTCACGGTTACGGACCATTGACCTTCCAGAAATTCCAATGTCCTTGCAGGCCAGATCATGGTAGCGCCAGGGCGGTGCTCTAGGACGAAACCCTTCCGATCATGACCACTGACACCGCATTCCATGCCTCGATGAGGGGAGGGCACCCCCATGCCCACGAAGCCCCGAGCGGGGCTGCCCCTCCCCACCTTGCGGGCCGCTGTGTGTAACATTTATTTAAAGGAAATCCTGCCACCATCCATGCTTCCCCACTGTCTTCTCTGCACAGCTGAGTATCCGCAAATCCCTTCTCTGTCCAGCATTCCTCAAACAATTAAACTCAGACACGGAGGGGAAAAAAAAAAAAAGAACCTCTGATTTCTTTCTGCAAAGGGCATTTGAATGTGTGTGTTCCTATCAGCATAATGTGAGGAGGTGGGAGGCTGTCCCACCCCTGCCCACCACACCCCCTCCCCAGCCTTTCCTGTCCAGTAGAGGTGGGGCTGGCCGTCCCCATTCCTGTTTTTACTGCCTGGTACGCTCAGCTGCAGCTTCTTACTGCCTGATTAAAATAAGAGTCTGGATTTGCATTCTTCTTCACTTCTTGCCATGAAGGGGTGATGGGTTCCTTAAAGGAGAACAGCCCGGCTGGTGTGCCTCAGTGGCTGAGTGTCCACCCAGGAACCAGGAGGTCATGGTTGGAAGAACAGCCCGGCTGGTGTGCTTCAGTGGCTGAGTGTCCACCCAGGAACCAGGAGGTCATGGTTGGATTCCCTTTCAGGGCAAATGCCCAGATTTCAGCTCAGTTCCCACCAGGGTCATGCAAGTGACAGCCAATGGATGATTCTCTCTCATCACTAATGTTTCAATCTGCCTCTCCCTCCTCTTTCCTCTCTCGGAAAATCATTTTTAAAAAGAATTAAAGGAAAAGATCCTAAAATTTGAGAGGAAATAAATGAAAGCACTGAGAACTTTTCAGATCCTGTGTGTTTGCTGTGCTGAGGCTGCTGCACGGGGGACAGGAGAGGCTGTGAGGACCGAGTGTGGTCAGGGCTGTGCCCAGTTGGTTCCCTGGTCTTTCATCAGCTGGGTCACCTCTCTGCTCCTTTGTCCTTCTCCCTTCAGTAGAACCTTGTCCCCCCAGGACTTTCCATCACAGGGTCTCAAACCTCACCAGGCCTTGTAAATTGTCCTAATGAGGAACATCTCCACAACCATGGGCAGCAAGGCCTTCCTGTGTCCGGGTCAGCCTAGGCTCAGGCCTGGGTCCTGCCCTCAGCCCTCATCTTCTGGGACTTTATTTGTTGTTTCTTTGTTGTGGAGAGGATTGTGCCTGTTTGTGTTCTTGTTATAAGGTTTGGTCTCATCCTTCTTTTGAGTGTCCCCTATCCAGCATCAGCCAGAGGTGAGTTGTCTGTCATTGTGCCCACAAGGCTCAGGGGTCCCTACACACTAGAGTCCGTGGTATGGAGAGATGAATTTTCAGTCTCATGCTGCTCTTGGCTCCTTCTAGGAATTGATTGTTCTTTCCATCTTTTCCTAAACTCTCCAAGGAACCAGGTCCTGGAATTAGCAGGGAGGAGGGGTCCTGTAATTACCATTTCTGGAAGAAAACTCTCAATGGCTTGAGAAAATGCTTTAGAGAATTGCAGTTTTGCAGCTTATTTTACACATTAGGATCAAAGGGGAAGACATGAGGAAGGTACAACACACCCACTGGTGGTAGAATAAGGAGGCGAGAGAAAGCAAAGTGGGAAAATCTCTAAGACTAGATAAAACGCAAAATGGAGAGACACAAACCTGTTACATTTATGGCTACAGGAGAGTTAACAGTTGACATTACAGTACATGGAGATGGCATGTGTGCAACAAGGTAGCAATGAGCGGTTCTGTGGTATCCTCCTCTGCGGTCTGGTGCTCTGGTGCCAGCGGTTGTACCCATAGGAGAGAAAAAGAAAATGACTCTGTTATTTAAAGGTATGTTATCCTAGATGCAGAAAGACAATAAACAGGCTCACTTAAGGAAAAGATCGACAAGACGCTACCAGCTTTGGACAGGTCTACCTGCCATGACCTGCTTTAGTTAGGAATTTTATTTATTTTTATTTATTTTATTTTATTTTATTTTTCTAGTTAGGAATTTTAATGTTCAGACCATTTGGTGTGGTTACTTTTAGTCACCAAGTTAGAAAGGCCTACCATTCTCAGCTCTGCCCCCCCTCCCCAATAGGCCAATTTATATGTGGCCCTTTTTTAAAAATATTTTTATTGATTTCAGAGAGAAAGGGAGAGAAAGAGAGAGATAGAAACATTAATGATGGGAGAGAATCATTGATCGGCTGCCTCCTGCATGTCCCCTGCTGGGGATGGAGCCCATAACTCAGGCATGTGCCCTTGACCAGAATCCAACCCAGGACTCTTCAGTCTGCAGGCTGACGCTCTATCCACTGAGCTAAACCTCTAGGGCTTGTCTGTTTGATTTGGGTGGCCAGTCAGTGGGGGCCTCCCTGGGAAGGTGGCTTGAAGAAAGCACTGAAGGACATGATGAATTATCCCTGAAGATGTGGGAAGGAAGTCCTTTCCAGCAGTGGCACCTCCAGTGGGAATGGCCTGGGGCAGGAGTGTGTCTGGTTTCAGAGCGAGGAGGCCAGTGTGGGAATGGAGCAGAGAGTAATGGAGATGAGATAAAGACAAGGCCAGACCTCCTGGGCCTGGAGGATGGAAGCAGGGCAGGGACTGTGCTCTGAGTGTGGAAAGAGCCACAGGAGAGTTTAGAGCAGGAGAGGCCCGGCCTGATACCCTCTTTAAAGGATCACTGTGGTTGTTGCTCTGAGAACACGTGAGAGGTTAGGGGGCAGTGGGGAGGCTGGGAGGGGCTCCAGGCTGGAGAGGCTTCCAGGGGCTGAGCAATGGAAAGAGATGGGACCCCAGAGTCCTCTGGCCACACGCTGCGGGGGGTGCCAGGAAAGCGGCTGGGCCATGGGTAGCCTGGGTCCTCTCACTGAGGTCCTTGTCCCCCAGCGAGGTGGGCAGCCCACACCGAGGTTCAGCACCTGGTCCTCCGGGCCCTCGGCCTGTCCTGTCCCAG